GATAGTATCACAGTATACACAACTACTTCGTCTTCTTCGGGTTTTAATGGCGGATGACAAACGAGCTCATGGGTGCAGTAGCGCCATCTACTGGACAGAAAAATAACCAAATTCTCTCTATTATTCTTAAATAATTAATTACTAGAGTGTGTACTTTCCATGGTTTCTTTCCAAGTAAATACTCCAATATAATATTATGTATTTCATCTAATGCGGATATTAATTCCCTCCTTTCTTGATCATGTTTGCTGCAGTTTATTAATACTTATACCATGGTCTGGGTGAATACTCAATTCTGATTGGCTGCTGAGTGTCCATTCATATCTGATTTAGGACACCTACTAAGTAGTTCCAGTGAAACGGTCTGTTTCTGTTCTAGATTAACGTGCTGAAATGAATATCTGAATACCTCATAAATATATCACAACACTGAGTGTAGTCCTCCAGTGGCTCATCCTCTGAACACCACACGATGGCGACTGTAACACACAAGCCCCCCACACTGCCCCTCTGAACTCACTGATACTTTGTATAAGCGATCCCCCCTACACCCCGTTCGCTATTCAGCTATTCAACCCGATGGTAAATACATGTTGTAGACTCAGTTCTTCTACTCAGGGGCACCATGTGAATATGGTGAATGAGAGGGAGTTAATTAGTTATTTTATGGGCCTGTGACTGACAGGGGCCCTAAATTATTAGAATATTGGTTCTTTATTTTCAATATTAGGTGATGAACCTATAATTGTTAATAGAATATCTTAATCATAAAATAACATTAAAAAAAACTCTTTCAACCAACATTTAATCAATGCAGACAAACTTTTAGCAAGCTATTCATACTAGGGTTTAATCAGTTATCTCTGCCTGTTGCCAGGCCAACAGGTTCAGCCTTTCCTCCCCATCCCCACGCTCATAACAATGCACCAGTCTCCCAAACCCAACTAAAGAACGAGGTGAGTAGCATTATGTTAAATAACATGACTCTTCCAAGTCCGGCTCTTCCTGGAACCAACTTTTCCTGTACATGTGCAAAGCTTGTCTATGTTGAAAAGACAACCAAAAGTAGGTTATTAAAGTAACGTTACCTCTGAGCTAGTTCATGGTGTAGATGCAACATTAAAACTTAGTTTTTCTGGTGTCAGCTGAAATATAAAATATAAAAAAATAAAAACATAGTAAACTCTTTACACAGGCAGGTCTGAAAAGCATGTAGCTATATTACAATTAAGTCTCACAAAAGCACACCAATATCAACCAGTAGTGTAGAAAATGTATGAAAATGGTAGCTGCTTCTGAAAAACATGTTTTTATATCACTGTAGTTCCACATCATCATCTACTTCAAGAAACTGACTGATTAATTAATTATTCATTTTTTTCCCTTGACAAACTCACTTTTGTACAAAACAAAACATTTTTTTATTTTTTCCAACATGGATCACTACTCCCACTGCTTAAATAAATGTAATCAACACAATAACAATACAACAATAATAAAGTAATTATTAATAAACTAAATTAACTGGACAGGGGACTCATATTTACTGTCAGGGGCATTTTGACCTCCCTTACACTGTAATGTATTTGTGCAACTTTGGTATGAAAATCAAAAGCATATATTCATATTTGTAATAATATATGTTGACTTCTTCTAGATTTATATACGCAACTTTTTTGGCCACTTCCTGACATACAACAAACTGTTGTCACTGATTAGCCACTGATATCAAAATAAAACTGGTTCCCTCTAGTGGCATGGAGTGGAAGCTCAACCATAAAGAGTGCGACACAGCCTCAAAATATAGCATCGTATCATAAATGGTGGTAAGGTTATTGAGATTATACAAAATGCTGAAAAAGTCAATGGTGGGTTATGTAGTTTTCCATCATGCTGAAGGTATTGTAGTCTGTTTTTTTTATTTTTTGGAAGCGCAGATGAATGTCTTTTAACTATTTTTCATTCCAGATGAATTCTTCCTCGTGAGATTTATTGTAAAATAATAATAATAATAATAATAATAATAATAATCATAATAACAATAATAATAATA